TAAAAGAGTCCTGAAAAAAGGTATCACGATTTCCACAAAAATATTAAGCAGCACACCTTTTGTCAACATTGGCGATAATAATAGGAAATGTTTCTTGATTTAATGATTTCTGAAGGATCATTTCACACTGAAGACTGAAGTACTGATTGACGGAAATTCAGCTTTGCATCACAGGAATACATTACATTTTAAAATATATTCAAATAGAAAACAGTTATTTTAAATTATTTTAAATCAAACTTCACAATATTGCAAAATTTACTTTCTTTTTTACTATATTACTTTATCAATTACATGAAGCCTTGGTAAGCATAAGAGACTTTAAAAAATAAAACTAAATCCTACCTCTAAATCTTTTTTTTTTTTTAATAATACTAAATAAAGTCAAATAAATCAAATATATTTTTACATAGCCCTCTGGAATATATTTATATTTTATGTAAGGGATCATGTGCCCCTTCAGGGTGATACAATATTTCCTGATTACCCTGTCAGTGTTTATTTAATGATAACAACTGCCTGGACATACATTAAATATAAACATACATTTATTATTTAAAATATAAATATAATAAACATATTATATGAAACAGTTAGGATCAATTTTTTTTAATCTGAGTATCTATACAACATCAGTATTGGGAGTATTAATACTTAAATAGCTTGTACCCTTGAGTTTACAGCATATGATACATGAACTCATATTCAATTAATTCCATAAAAGACCAAAAACCAGGAATCAAATGTGAAACTCAGGGCATGACCCATTTAAAACGTCTTCTTCAGCTCTAAAAAGCCTCTCTCGTGTGTAATGGATGAAAAGTCTTTCCCGAACGCTGAGGTGAGAGGAATACAGAAGAAGAGAGAGGCTCTTTAAAAGAGCTTCCCTGGCAGTCAGGGCCGATTAGTCTCTGTACATACACCCGCACTCTTTATCTCTCTCACTCTCCCTCATCTTCCTCGCACTCCCTTTCCCCCTCTCTCGCACTTGCTTTTTTGTCCTTCTGCTCGCTTTGTTTCCTCTGACAGTGGACCTTGGAGTCAGCTGTCCATGTCTGCTGTGGGAACAGTGAGAAAGACCGAGAGAGAGTGGGAAAGAGAGCAAATGCCCTTGAGAGTGATGAGTATGTATGTTTGAGAAGCCAAAGCATTTCCAACATCCATGTGCTTCAGTCAAGCAAATACCTTGATCAGCAACTGTTTTGTCCTCAAAACAGTCACCCTGGATCAAAATGTATCATGCCAATCCAGACTAATTATGATATTAAAGCACATGGTTCTCATGGGTGGGTTGGCAGAATTGGGACACTTCCCACAAGGTTGGTGGTTTGATCCCTTGTACAATCCTACACTACCTACAGTACCAAATGTTGTGAATTTGAGCAATGCATCATAGCATTACTATCATCTAAGAAGAAAATTAAAACAAATGTAATGTAAACTATAAAAAGAGCTTCAATTTTTGAAAACAAAACAAGCAATGATAAAACAAAACAACAGTGACAAGAAAGAATCATGTTGAACAAACAGGCAATCGAAAGAACAGCATCTCCAAATAAATAAATAAATCTATTCGGTCTGGTTATTATATTCATATATTATATTAAATATTTAATATTTGTAAATGTTTGTAACACAAAATTTTGTTAGTAAGTAAATAAATAAATCTATATGGTCTGGTTAGTCTTTTATTTATCAACTATTTACCAATTTACCATTAAGTAAGCACGAAGGTAAGTAAGTAAGTAAGTAAACAAACAAACAAACAAACAAAATAAATAAATAAGGACTGGCTAATCTTTTATTTATTATATTTATATATTATATTTACCATTTAAATATTTTTAAAACAATTTGGTGTTAAGAAAGTAATTAAGTAAACAAACAAATAAATCTATTTAGTCTGCTTATTTTATTTATTATATTTATATATTATATTAAAATATTTATCGTTTAAATATTTTTGTACAACAATTTGCTGTTAAGAAAGCAAGTAAACAAACAAACAGTAAGCTACTGGAGTATAAATTAAATAACTTTGCATTCAAAAATTGCAGTACGCTTAGGGTTAGGGTATTTATTGGAATAAAACAGCATGAAGCATGTAGTCAAGCTCTCATATTATTAATATAATTTCTCGATTTTACCTTACATACATAAATGTGCTTATGTGTCCAGTATATCAAATACAAGGTTTTAATCATTACCTGTGGGCCCCTAAAATCACTTGAGCCCTTTATTTACAGCCTTATATGAATCACAACTTCAAGAGTGTCGTATGATGAAAGACTAACGGTAAATATCTCAGAAGAGTCTTGATATGACACCCAACATGCGAGACCCTCTCATAAGATGTGAACTTGTAAAGGCTCTCACCAGAGTGTGACATGACTGGCTCTTTTTCTTCACCTCCTCCTCAAGGACTTCACACTCCTTTCTCTTCCTGCTGATCTCAGTCTCCTGAGGGAAAAAAGAAAATAAATACTGTTAGATGGATAGATGGATTCAATTTGCTGTTAGAGTAGATGTGGCCTAATGCAACCGTCTCTCTTCAGGGAGGCTGGATGCGGCATAACACACAATCTGTGTATGTATGCATGTGTATGTGAGCTCGTGCCCGTGTAGGAAATAGTAGCACATTCTCAGAGCCAGTGGGCACCCGTATATATCATCTACCTATAAATAGCAACATTCTCTATTGCACAATGTTGCAATGCCATCAGCGAAATGCACAAGTCTAAAAATCACTATAAATACAAATCCACTAAAAGAAAAACAAACGCACACACAGTTCTAATGAACATGAAAACATGTGCATATTCAATGTAAAAATCATGCTCATATCTGTATAAAAGCTCCCGTAACCATTTACATGAAAACAAAACAAGAAATAATGGGAATAAACAAAAAAACAAAAAGTCAAACAGCCAAATAGAAGTGCATTATTTTGTATGACCCATAACCAGACTAAACTGTATTCATGAAAAATACTACTAATAAATAAATAAATAAATAAATAAAATATCTATCTATCTAATTTATTTTATTTTTCCCCTGAATATTTAATTTTATAACAATTTGTAATGCAATTTGGTGTTACATATGATTTGGTCTGGTTATTATTTGTTTATTATTTTATATTTATATATTATATTGAATATTTAGCATTTAATGTTTGGTGTTGTTAAATAAATTATATTATTTGGTCTGGTTATTATTTATTTATTTATTTTCTATTTATAAAATAAATATTTAACATTTAAATATTTTGTAATGCAATTTGTTGTTTCTAACATATACATATGATTTGACTGAATATACATTTTTTTATATTATATTCATATATTATATTCAATAGTTGTCATTTAAATATTTTGTAATAATTTGGTGTTAAATAAAACCATTTGGTCTCATTATTCTTTTATCATATTATATGTATATATCAAATATTTACCATTTAAATATGCTTAGTTATAATCTGGTGTAAATAGTATGCTGCTAGATAAGAAATCACTACTTCATCTTTAAATATGTTTAAGTGTGATAATGAGCTACAATAAAAAAAAAAAAACTCAACATTTCTCTCTATCATCACTGTATAATGCCGCTGAAGTGACCTGTGTTTTGTTGGCATGTCAGCGGAGTTGTTCAGACCTCAGCGTTACATATGTACAAGACTAATGTGTCTCCACTGCTGATATCATTCCCTAATTAAACCCCACTGTGATACACACACATACACAAACTCACATTGTGCATAGGTAAAGTATAGGTAAATTCCCAGCATTTTGTCTCATAACACACTGTACCTGCCAACGGCTAAATGACTTTATTGGTCTGTAGGAAAGCAGGTGTTGTGGGCCAGGCCATATGTGGGATTGTGTAGGTATATACGTGTGTGGGCTACAGATGGTCATCTCATCCTCATAATGGGTATATCAGTCTCAAGAGAGGCTGACATAAGCTGTGTGTGAGTGAGTGTCTGTGTGCACGCAGGTATTAATGAATGGCAACATCCATCCTGCTGAGTGACACCTGGGATGGGGAGATAGAAGTCCCAATTTGAATAATAAACGAATATCCATGAGGATGAATGGATAGATGGATGTATGGTTGGATGGAAAAGCCTTTTCTTTCATTTTTGACCATTTTAATGCATCCTTGCAGAATATAATTATAAATATATATCTTACTGACCCCAAACTTTTGAACGGTAGTGTGCATCTAACATCAAATATGTAAAACATGAATGTCAAGACTACTTGCTTTTCAATATTTTTTGAATGGTCTGTATTATTATATTTTTATTGTTGAATATATGTAAAAATATATATGTAAAAATGTGAAAAATTTGAACCCATGTCCCTATGCACCGCCACAGTTTCCTACACTTCTAAAAGTAAAATTCCCACTGTCCAGTGCAGTAAATTAATGAGTTACAGATTTCATAGCCTGTGCTTTTGGTGTATGTTGTAGTGTCAGTGTGTTTCGTGTGTGTTTGAGCAGCTACATAACATGACTTGGCACTTGCTTATTTTATTTATTATATTTATATATTATATTAAAATATTTATCGTTTAAATATTTTTGTACCACAATTTGCTGTTAAGAAAGCAAGTAAACAAACAAACAGTAAGCTACTGGAGTATAAATTAAATAACTTTGCATTCAAAAATTGCAGTACGCTTAGGGTTAGGGTATTTATTGGAATAAAACAGCATGAAGCATGTAGTCAAGCTCTCATATTATTAATATAATTTCTCGATTTTACCTTACATACATAAATGTGCTTATGTGTCCAGTATATCAAATACAAGGTTTTAATCATTACCTGTGGGCCCCTAAAATCACTTGAGCCCTTTATTTACAGCCTTATATGAATCACAACTTCAAGAGTGTCGTATGATGAAAGACTAACGGTAAATATCTCAGAAGAGTCTTGATATGACACCCAACATGCGAGACCCTCTCATAAGATGTGAACTTGTAAAGGCTCTCACCAGAGTGTGACATGACTGGCTCTTTTTCTTCACCTCCTCCTCAAGGACTTCACACTCCTTTCTCTTCCTGCTGATCTCAGTCTCCTGAGGGAAAAAAGAAAATAAATACTGTTAGATGGATAGATGGATTCAATTTGCTGTTAGAGTAGATGTGGCCTAATGCAACCGTCTCTCTTCAGGGAGGCTGGATGCGGCATAACACACAATCTGTGTATGTATGCATGTGTATGTGAGCTCGTGCCCGTGTAGGAAATAGTAGCACATTCTCAGAGCCAGTGGGCACCCGTATATATCATCTACCTATAAATAGCAACATTCTCTATTGCACAATGTTGCAATGCCATCAGCGAAATGCACAAGTCTAAAAATCACTATAAATACAAATCCACTAAAAGAAAAACAAACGCACACACAGTTCTAATGAACATGAAAACATGTGCATATTCAATGTAAAAATCATGCTCATATCTGTATAAAAGCTCCCGTAACCATTTACATGAAAACAAAACAAGAAATAATGGGAATAAACAAAAAAACAAAAAGTCAAACAGCCAAATAGAAGTGCATTATTTTGTATGACCCATAACCAGACTAAACTGTATTCATGAAAAATACTACTAATAAATAAATAAATAAATAAATAAAATATCTATCTATCTAATTTATTTTATTTTTCCCCTGAATATTTAATTTTATAACAATTTGTAATGCAATTTGGTGTTACATATGATTTGGTCTGGTTATTATTTGTTTATTATTTTATATTTATATATTATATTGAATATTTAGCATTTAATGTTTGGTGTTGTTAAATAAATTATATTATTTGGTCTGGTTATTATTTATTTATTTATTTTCTATTTATAAAATAAATATTTAACATTTAAATATTTTGTAATGCAATTTGTTGTTTCTAACATATACATATGATTTGACTGAATATACATTTTTTTATATTATATTCATATATTATATTCAATAGTTGTCATTTAAATATTTTGTAATAATTTGGTGTTAAATAAAACCATTTGGTCTCATTATTCTTTTATCATATTATATGTATATATCAAATATTTACCATTTAAATATGCTTAGTTATAATCTGGTGTAAATAGTATGCTGCTAGATAAGAAATCACTACTTCATCTTTAAATATGTTTAAGTGTGATAATGAGCTACAATAAAAAAAAAAAAACTCAACATTTCTCTCTATCATCACTGTATAATGCCGCTGAAGTGACCTGTGTTTTGTTGGCATGTCAGCGGAGTTGTTCAGACCTCAGCGTTACATATGTACAAGACTAATGTGTCTCCACTGCTGATATCATTCCCTAATTAAACCCCACTGTGATACACACACATACACAAACTCACATTGTGCATAGGTAAAGTATAGGTAAATTCCCAGCATTTTGTCTCATAACACACTGTACCTGCCAACGGCTAAATGACTTTATTGGTCTGTAGGAAAGCAGGTGTTGTGGGCCAGGCCATATGTGGGATTGTGTAGGTATATACGTGTGTGGGCTACAGATGGTCATCTCATCCTCATAATGGGTATATCAGTCTCAAGAGAGGCTGACATAAGCTGTGTGTGAGTGAGTGTCTGTGTGCACGCAGGTATTAATGAATGGCAACATCCATCCTGCTGAGTGACACCTGGGATGGGGAGATAGAAGTCCCAATTTGAATAATAAACGAATATCCATGAGGATGAATGGATAGATGGATGTATGGTTGGATGGAAAAGCCTTTTCTTTCATTTTTGACCATTTTAATGCATCCTTGCAGAATATAATTATAAATATATATCTTACTGACCCCAAACTTTTGAACGGTAGTGTGCATCTAACATCAAATATGTAAAACATGAATGTCAAGACTACTTGCTTTTCAATATTTTTTGAATGGTCTGTATTATTATATTTTTATTGTTGAATATATGTAAAAATATATATGTAAAAATGTGAAAAATTTGAACCCATGTCCCTATGCACCGCCACAGTTTCCTACACTTCTAAAAGTAAAATTCCCACTGTCCAGTGCAGTAAATTAATGAGTTACAGATTTCATAGCCTGTGCTTTTGGTGTATGTTGTAGTGTCAGTGTGTTTCGTGTGTGTTTGAGCAGCTACATAACATGACTTGGCACTGTGGGTCTGTGATATGCCAGAGAGTAATGGCTGTATCATTCTGCAGTTTGCCACTGCATGCTCTTGTTTAGCGGAGCACAGACGTTTTCGTAATATAGATTGGCAGCATAGATCTGGGGCGTGCCGGGGCTGTTGTAGAGCAGTGGGTAACTTGTCTCTGACATGGCAGTAAGTGTTAGTATGAATATTTAACATTTCATCAGCAGTCATTTGTCTTAAAGCACAGGACCGGTGTTCATTTAAAATCCTCCAGCCTCGCGTTCAGCCCGGCTCGGCCGACACGGTGCATCGATACAGCACACGCTGAGATTAAATGGATGGAGGGAGAAACCCATGCAGTATAACAATCTATCAGGCCTAATCAGCCTTTTATATAATGCCTTTACTCTGATGCTTTATCCGTATCATCTCATGCTGTGTAACACTGTTCAAAGCTGTGCAACCATCTGGAAACTAGCATTAATTGGTACCCCAGGTACGACTCAATTTTTGACCCCTTATGAAAATGCACGTCAGACAACTAGGACAGATCTAATATTTCAATGCAAACATTTTGTTTTTATAATGCGGACTTATATTTACAGTACCATATGTTTGGGGTCATTACGATTTTAAGAAATTACTGTAAATACTTTAATTCAAGGATCCATTAAATTGATCAAAAAAGACAGTAAAGTGCTTTTTTTACAGTAAATTATTTGACAATAAGTGTAAGAACATTCATTAACAAAGTTTTTAAGAGGTTTCTTTCACTCTCACATACCCTGTTGCCTCAAAGGTTAAAGAGACTTTAAAAATGCCTGTTTAGAATATATACGGGGGAATTTACACAGAAGAGATTTCAGTTTGTTCTTCCTTTACTGAAACTCTTGAACAGCCTTTACTGCTGTGATTTTAACTTTACATTTTGGGTGGATGTTTTCAACTAGCATTCAGTGAAAAATAATAATACTTTTCCTTATAGTTTCAGAAGAATATACTGAATTCCCCATTTTTTGACTGAACATGGTAATTTTGGTGGGTAAATATCACATTTACAAATGTAAATGGAAGACATGTTCCATTACTATTATTTCTTAGATTTTGTGACAATATTTCAAAGTTTGTTTTCAAATACTTCAAAGAAAGCTAAGTAGAAAGATGGGAAATGTATGCTCCTCATCAAAATAGTGCCGTCCTTATTTATATCTTTGTTATAGTCAATTAAATTTGAAATCTTGCTTTTTTTATAATGTATATTTTAAAAGCATGTATTTATAACAGACCTCATTAGCCCATATATGATTTTAAAAACATGTCATTGAATGCCACATGACATTAGTGACATTGAAGCTATAATCAGTTCCCCAAGGAGCAAAAAAGTGAATATAAATTCTATATATGAGTGTTAAACTCTTTAGAAGAGAAGTTCAGCAGATGCGCTACAGAAAGCTGAGCGAACCCTGAAGTCAAGAGTCGTTGCTATGGAAATGATACACCGTCTACTCAAGCTGGCAGGTAACACTACTACACATAGAACCTATTATAATCACTGATTCTGTCACTGAACATGTGCTAAATCGGCCACAGTAAACGGAAGCCGCGTTCTATTTCTGACGCACTCTACACGCTTGTGCTACCGCGCTAAATGGACAAATAGATATGGAAAGCTCGCTTTGAAGCATCCAGTGTAGAGACGCGTGGGACGTTGCAGACCATTTTCTTTTGCAAGTTTCAGCTTCAAACATCTTTGGTGTAAACTGGCTTTAACCAAATGCACCCCCTCCCCTTTCAAAAATATTGCTTCCAGCGCCCCCCGATGCTCTCTGATTGCCCCCGTTGAGAAACACTACTCTAGAGTGACTACCCATAATTATGTACTAAACCTGGATAATGTATAACAGTGTGAAGTATTAATCCACATTCGAAATGACTCTTAATTAACAATCTCAAGTGTGAAAAGCTCTGAAAAGTAGAAAAGTAGACTGCCTCACTCACTTAAATGATTATGAAATATGGATCAGAACAGTTCTGCCAAAATAAGTGCAGTAATTGTTACTATAGAAAGTTCTAATCTTATAGCGTTGCATTGATTTTTTCCCCTCAGTAATCAATAAAATGTAATTCTCTGTGTCTCGTTATTAGATAAATTGTTTAAACATCTTCATATTGTTGTAAACTGACAGGAGAGCCGGTACACTCCACTCCAGAGACAACACAACTACAGTCGTATTGCTTGATTTGTCCTTTTAGTGTGAAGCGAACTGACTCACAGCTAAAGGACGGGTCACTGACACTTTATTACCACCTCACACATAGCAATAGCAAGGTCACCGGCTAAATTCCCACGACATGCTTAACACACACATCCAAGTGAATCTGGTATTTATAAGGATATGGATAGAGCAAGAAAATTTACCAGTTTGATCCAAATCAAAATGGTTAAATTTGTCATACAGTTGTTCACCTTCATATTGAAACAAGAAAATTTACAAGCAAAATTGTGCAAGACTATTTTCAGAGTATATATGTTGAACTTTATTTTCCTTATCCCACTAAAAAAATGTTTCCCCTCATGTTTTAAACATAAGATTTGTTATTGTTGAATATAAAATTTAGAATTCTTTTAGTCATTCCACAAATGAACTAACTTTAAATGTCAAATCAATCACTGACACACTACACTCAATCTCACTCATTTCCATACTCAATGTAATAAAACTACCCCCAAACCTACTTTTTCGTGCACAGATAAGTGAGATCACACATGCACTCATAAGCATGAGTCTGTTCAGCATGTCTGCCGGCTGTTGTCCAGACACACTCTAATCCTCCTCTCAGCTGCTACCGATCACAGATCATTGGAAAAGGCCAATTGAATTACATAACGTCAATGTGTGTGAGAGCTCAATGCTCGAGGATTGCTTCACTCAACGCTAGACACAGTCTGACTCATTACAGGGAGGGCAAACATGCACCATACTTATGAAATAAGAGCATTATATGTCTTAAAGATGCATTCATAAAGACCATTAATAAGATCACACAAAAGAAGTGTGTATGCTGTGTACAAAATTGTCCCCAAAAAAGAGCTAAATCTGACAACACCTCCCTTTCGGGACAATCAGAGACGTCCTCAATTAGAAAATCAATTCATAAGGCAAATACAGTTTTTTTCTGAAACACAAAATCATACTTTTTAGGGCAGAATGAGCGTTAGTCTATAACAGTGGTTCTCAGCCTTTTTGACCCCAAGGCTCCCCATTGTCCACAACAATATTCAAACGCCCCATGATTTTTCCTGTTGTCTGTTATTTACTGGAAGCTATTAAAGGAGACATATTATGCCCCTTTTTACAATATGTAATATAAGTCTTTGGTGTCCCCAGAATGTGTCTGTGAAGTTTCAGCTCAAAATACTCCACAGATCATTTATTATATAATTTTGAAAATGCCCATTTTGAGTGGAAGCAGAAACACGCTGTTTTTCGGGCCTGTCTCTTTAAATGCAAATGAGCTGCTGCTCCACGCCCCCTTTTCCAGAATAGAGCTGCACCATTACCAAGTTTCACAATCAATGTTCTAAAGCAGCTTGTTCCTCGCGTCCCCCTGCTCTTTACTTTAAAAACACGCATGGGTTACAAAAACATTCGGTTATGTCTGTGAAGGTAAACAGCTGGGAAATAAATCGCTTGTTTATTTTAGATCTGTGTGGCAGCAGCAATATACAGTAAATAAATCAATAAATCCACTGCTCTCTTGTCTCCTCTGAGGCTGGGACTGTAAATAGTGTTCTGTGCTCGTCTGTGCAGCCAAAGACAGAACTGTTAGCATGTTTTGCTCAAACTTTCGCCATGGCATTAGAGCTGGTACACCGTTGTCGCTTGCAAAATCAAAATGACGGCACTGTGGGTGGAAACGTACAGGTTAAGGGGCGGTAATATTATAATGAGATCCCTTTGCAACGTCACCAAGGGAGCGAAATCAGAAGTGCTCGTTTTTTCAGACGCTTGCAGAAAAAGGCTTACAAAAACAAAGTTACAGTGCGCCTGCGAGCTTCAGTGTAAATATTGCGTCAAAATCAAATCAATTTGAGCGCGATTTCCTAAATGACGGTGATTCAGCTATGTCTATTAAACCTTTGAAATCACAATCACATCGGAATATTTAAACCTGCTTTTGCACAGCCGCTGATCCGGAGAAAGCAGCGCTCATCATGTAAAGCTTTGTTTGAAACAGCTTCACAAACAGTCTACTTACACAGTAGGCTACATTTCTTTGGTGCAAACATTAAATAATAACGAAAGTATTGATAAAAGTTTAAAGTCCGGATGTAGACTCTGATGTTGCGATCGCGGGAGCCGTGATCAAAATGGGTCTTCGAAAGTATGATACGCTGCAAATAATGATTGTATATGTTACATTATTCCAGTAGGTGGCGAACAGTGAGTGTTAAATGTATTTGATGTCTGAATCA